CCCCTGGCTCACGAGGGGGGGGATGTAGCCCCAGGGGGGGGCGAGGTCGTGCCAAAACTGCAATATTGCAGTTTGGCCCAGGGGGTGCAGGCTGCGGCTGCGCACCCCCCTGTATTTTGAGGTGAAGGACAAGGTGACTTCTGCCGAGTTTGAGCTGGTCAACGGTCTGCTGTTCCTTGAGAAGGCAGGGAATAAAGGGCTGTGTGTGCCAGATAGAGAGTCTTTGCGTAGTTTATTTTTAGTCGAGTGTCATGATGCCACCGGACATTTTGGCTATCCAAAGACTGCAGCCAATCTTCTGCAGAGGTTCTGGTGGCCCACTATAAAAAGACTTATCAAGTCTATCAGAGGGACAAGCCACACACACAGGCTCCTCTTGGGTTACTGAAGCCCCTTCCGATTCCGGAAACGCCTGGTGAGAACCTGTCCATGGATTTCATGGATACGCTGGTCACCAGCAAGAGTGGAATGTGTTATGTCTATGTCATTGTGGATAGGTTTAGTAAATACGCTAGATTAGTCGCAATGCCAGCAACAGCTGAGACCAAGTATGTGATTAAGCTGTTCCAAGAGAACTGGGTCAGAGATTTTGGACTGCCGAAATTTATAGTGAGTGATCGTGATGTGCGATTTACTAGTGAAATGTGGAAAGCCGCAGCTGCAGAACAGGGAACACAGCTACAGACGACATTAGTTGAACCGCGCTGTACAAAACTGCTGAGACACTACATCAAGCCAAACCAGGTGGACTGGGATGAGAAACTTGCTCTCATCGCCAGCCTGTACAATAACACTGTGCACAGCGCAATGGGAGTGAGCCCGAACAGCCTGCTACTGACATTCAAACCTAGACTGCCATTGGATTTCCTACTACCTGAGAACCAGTCTTCTGCTTAGAGTCCGCTTATAGATATGAGCGTCTGATGCAGCAGGCTGTTGAAAAGATGCACAAGGCACAGGCGGCGATGATAGAGTCAGAGAACAAACAATGCCGCCCATCTACATTTCAGGTAGGGGAGAGAGTCTGGGTTAAGTCCTCACAACTGGGACAGGAGCACGGGATCTCCCACAAGCTCATGCCGTCATATGTTATTCGCATCCCTAGTCACTTATGTACTTACCCTGTGTTTCACGCTTCCAAAAATGCGAGTTTGAAGGCCGATAGGCAGGGGATGTCCTCCGAAACCGAAGCTGCAGTACCGCATCCGGTCCAAACATCACACTGATCCAAAAGAGGACCGGTGGTTCACGAGGGAGGAACTCATACAGACCGCTCCTCAGGCGGTCGCCCAAAATGAGAGGTCTCTGCAGAAGGGAAAGGGCCAGATTATTGAAGACTGAACTTCTCAGAGGACTATTGAAGTATGGAGGAGGGAATGCGAGGCCTAAGGCCCTATGAGTCCCCTTTTGGCCCTGTTTGCAGCGTTGCCGGCCGCCCTAAGTGAAGGCAGGCCCAACTAGGACCTAGGGGCCCCCTTTCTCAGGCCATCTCGCAACTGGGGAAAACCAGACAGTTGCGCGGCGTCAGTTGGTTGCAAGCGCCCAGGCCCAGGCATCCATTTTATTTTGCAAATGTATCTGAAGTACGCCCTGGGCCAGACGCGTATACACACCGAACACAGGCTATGGGCAGTTGGGTACGGGCAACTAACTCAGGACATGGGCCTGTTCTGTATGGACTGGGGCTCAGCCACTCGGGGCCTACCGGAAGCTTCCGGGCGAGGGCCCAGCGCAGCCTGGCCGCAGCAGCAGGCAGGACACTTCCATTTAGGAAAGAGCCTGCCTCCACATTTGGCATTCGGGCACTGGCTGCATGCTGCGCAAGCGCTGCCGCGCTAACGCTGGCCAGCGCTCACGCGCTCATGGGCGAGCTGGAAGGAGCAGGAAGCCATGGCCGAGCTGCGCTGCTGTATGCTGGGTGGGGGCGCATGGTGCTTCTTGGGTGCATGTGGCATCTGTGAGTTGGGGATCGAGGTTGTGAGTGATACGAGAGACATACCTGGGGCTTGAGGCGAACGGCATTGGACGAGATCTGCTCGTACATCCGGGAGCTGTTGACGTCATCAGCGGCATTGTAGATAGGCTAGATAGGATCTGCCATCTGTAGTCTGGGCGCCGAGCGCCAGATAGGATATCGACATTGGTTCTTTGTTGACGATGATGAGACTATTCCAGCATTGTCAATTATGAGCTTTCGCTGTGCTCTTATTTGGTGAAACTCATGATGCAATTCTGCTATTGGTTCGAGGTCACGACTATCTGGTCTCATGTGTATGATGCTGTTTGATTTCTGAAGTTTGCTATCGCTCATTTTCCTTGCATAATGGTTAGAGCCTCCCTGACTGTGAGACCTGCAAAAGCCAACAGTATTTGAAGGGATTGGCATCAGAGTGGGAGCATCATGACATCATTCAATATTAATTTCGTTCAAAGTGAGAAGAAGTAAAGAACACGATGAGTAAAGTTCACTTTCGGCCAACACAATCTATTGCCCAAAAAGACAGGGGCAAATTTAAATAGCACTGCCAACTGCGTTCACGTTCATTACATTTAATTGGAACCCCCCTCTTCGAAAATGTGACCCTCAACGAGACTGAATTGCACTGCTCATCTATGGCAGACATAAGCCATCCCTACTCTCAACGAGAGAATTGTTTCAAAAGCCCGACAGTGCTGACACTGATAGACAACCCAGTGCCAAACAAAGATTCTACGCTCTTAACTCATAGAGTCATAGGCCATTTGAAAATAAGAGGCCATTGGATGAGGCTGGGTCAAGAACAACACAAAGTGAAGTAATGCGCAAAAGCACAACATAGGGGGGTTCTCACTGATGCTTACTGCTCCATCATTTTCAAAATCTCCTCATAAATAGCCCTCGCTGGCGAGTCTGCTTTTCCTTTTTTCTGCGCTCCGAAAATCTGTGCTGTTACCACATACACGAACTTCAGATCTGCCAGGGCTTCGCAATACTGTGGCAGTGTTAAGCTTTCACCCGAAGCAGCCTCCTTAGACATTGCAGATCTGTACCCCTGCTCCACCACTGCCAAGGCCAGACAAAGAATATCTTAGCCAATACCAAACGAGCAGAGTGTCCACGAAACCACTCCGCTTTGCAAGCTTGTCAAGTGTGAGCCACTTGGTACTACCTTCTTCCCCCAAATACAACGTACGATCACTATAGCTGTTTTCGAGGAATCTTTCAGTCTAGATACAGCTATAATGACCGTACGTTGTATTCGGGGGAAGAAGGTAGAAGGAACACTTGTGCTGTCACGAACATCAGGAACCTGCAGGCATTATACGACACAGATGTCAAGCAGACCAGGTAGGTGCCATATATCCCCTAGCTATGTCAAGTGTGAGCCATTTGGCCTACGGAAAGCTTGTGGAGCAGCCTATCCTATGTACTGGGCAGGCTGAAATGTATTCAGCACTGATGGTGAAAAAGTGTGCTATTGTTTGACCCAAAGGAGCATGGAGTCGCTGCTCTTCAGGGGGAGCAGCAATCACAGGCAGCAGGAGGAGGAGAGGTACGAAGGTCACACGTCAATCATGGTAAAGTATGTGAGATTTAGGTTGCAAGCATTCCATGGTAGTATCTCCACCATGTACTGGGCAGGCTGGTGAAAAAATGTGCTATTAATTGACCCTACTAGATGACCTGTTCCGGCTTCACTCGCAAAAACGGATATGATGGGTAATGTGAACTCTCTCTCTCTCTCTCTCTCTCTCTCTCTCTCTCTCTCTCTCTCTCTCTCTCTCTCTCTCTCTCTCTCTCTCTCTC